CCCCCCCCCCCCCCCCCCCCCCCCCCCGGCCTGTGGGAGGGGTCTGTAAAACATCTTTGTAATTGATCAGGGAACAGCGTCGCGCTTAGACGCAGTACATTTGTGGAACTGGACTAATGCTCGTGTCGCCTGATGCTCTGCACGCGCTTTAAGAAGAGCCAGACACCCCCAAAGTGTGTGTTTCCGAGGAGCGGGACTGTTTGGTCGCCTCTCGTTCTGCGGTGCCCATAAATCGATGCGTCCCGCGGGTCTAAACTGCGCTCCGGACGAGTGAACGGCTGTCGCGCGCGGATATGCAAAGAAGTTCCCGGAGCCGCGCGCAGCGTCCGGTTTGGGGAGAGTTTGGGGGTGTTTTCCTCCGGTTCGCTGGCGGGGGCGGACGCATGGGCTCCACGGCCGGGGGAGCCGCTCCGCGCGCAGATGGCCGACCTGGAGCTGCTTCACTTTGAGCATCCCGGTGCGGAGCCCCGGGCGGAGGCCCGCGCGCGTCTGGAGGAAACAGAAACGTCTTTCACCTGCGAGCAGGAGGGCGAGCAGCACGCGCACAGCAGCGGAGTCTGCCAGCTGACCCCCAGCTCCTCCGAGGCGGAGGAAGAGGAAGAGGAAGAGGAGGAGGAGGAAGAGGAGGACGACGATGTCCCGGAACTTTACTTGCTGTCCGACGACGACCTGTCCTCCTCCTCATCCTCCTCTGGCGGCGGGGGCGCGCGGGCGTCCGTGGACTACGGCTTCATCGTGGCCGTCACGTGCCTCGTCACCGGCATCTCCCTGGTGGCCATAACGTACGCGGTTCCGCGGGACGTCCGGGTGGACCCGGACACGGTCTCCGCCCGGGAAATGGAGCGCCTGGAGCGGGAGAGAGCCGGCGTGGGGGCCCACCTGGACCGCTGCGTCATAGCGGGGTTGTGCCTGCTGACCCTGGGGGGCGTCCTGCTGTCCACGCTGCTCATGGTCTCCATGTGGAAGGGGGAGATGATGAGGAGGAGAGCCTTCGCTTACTCCAAGCACGCCGCCAAGTTGTACGGCTCCGTGAGCCTGCGGACGGGATCCAGCCCGACTCTGGGATCCTGCTCGCGTTTGTCAGCCGCTGATGAGGATTTGGAGGCGCTCAGCTGAATCCGTGGGCAGAGAGCGCACACCCTGGCAGAGCTCCTAATCCTGCAGCCGTGTCGTCTTTACATCTCCAGCAGCTAATACTACTTCTAGGTTTGTGTAGCTCGCGTTTATTCAAGCCCACGATTCAGCTGTCAGGACGCACAGATCTCCTTCATCAATTCAAAACTCCCTGATCGAACCCCAATTTGTTTCCTTCTTCCTTTAAAGTGTCTCTGAGCAGCAGCTTTCAGAGTTTTTCTGCTTTTTCTCTCTGTTAAGCCGCTGAACTCTGAGTTATTCAGGAAGAAACAGGCCCCTAACTCAAGGGCTGAGCCAGCGTTGTGGCCAATCAGCAGAGCAGCAGTTTAAAGTGGATCTTTAGGCTCTTTGTCAGCAGCAGCCTGTCACAGAGACAGAAGAAGAAGAGCTGAGCCTATAAACTCTGTAATCCAGATCTAGCAGAGGGCATGAACGGAGCTGAGAGCTGCATCTGGACCTCCAGCTGACCGTCTCCTGGTGGCCTCTTCAGAAATGCTCTCCATGAAGGGGGGCTGTCAAGAAGCCCCTCTGAAGGAAGGAAACAGGGAGGAAAGGCTCTGTCGCTCTGCCAGAGGAACCAGAAGTGGACTGAACCCCAGCAGCTCTGATGGAGGGATGGATCCTCCAGAGCCGGAGCTCCACATCATGAAGCAGTGTGGGATCATCTGACAGAAAACGGAGCCAAAGGCAGCAGCAGCATCCAGAGAAGAGCTTTGGGACGTCCTTCAAGAAGCTGGAGAGCTGCTCCTGGAGACTCCTCCCAGAGAGGAGCTGCTCCTGGAGACTGGAAGAGTAAGGAGCTCAGAGTTGGTTCTGAACCAACTTCCTATTACTTTGGCTCATTCAAGTAAAGGTGGATTGGATCAGGCCAAAACCGACAGAGCAGCGTCAAACATGAACTTTTCCAAAGCTGAACTTTTACATTCAGAGACATCAATAATGACTCCATGTCTTGTATAATCTGTAATCTCAGTCATGTGAGCTGCATGCCAGCAGTGTCTTCCAGATCTTTGCTTTTCATGCTCAAACATTGCTGCTGCTTAGTTTTCTTTCTCATCCACATGTCGGGATCCGTGTTTGTTTTCGCCTTTTTTTTGTAACTCTGGACTCTGGGGAAGCCCCTTTCCCTCTTTGTGTGGGTGGTGATGTTGCTGGAAGGATTCTCCTGAAATGCAGGTTTCCTCTCGGTTTTGTTTTGTTTGTTTTTTCCTCCCATTCTGGACATGCAAACGTGGCTCGTTGTGAGGACAGTGGCATGGCTCTTTGCTGCTCTCAAAGGAGTTCCTGGAGGGGGGGGGGGATGCATCCCCTGAGCTCAAATCGTCTCGAATACCACAGGAGGTGTAATTAGATTTTGTGGCTGAGCGCCGATGCTCAGACACTTTGGGCTTCAGGCTGCAGATGTTCAAAAGCAAACAAAGACGGAGAATCAACAGACCCTCCCCCCCTGGGGAAAAGCTCTCCTGGTAGCCTTTTATCTTTAATTGGCCTGCGAATCTGTGAAAGAAGAGAACAAAACCTCAGAGGTTTTCAGTCAGTCAGTGGCTGTCTGTGAAGGGAAGCTGATGGATGCAGAGAGGGATGCTATCAGCCTCTAGAGAGGAAAGTATCAGCCTCTGGAAAGGGAAGTATCAGCCTCTAGAGGGGGATGCCATCAGCCTCTGGAGGGGGTTCTATCAGCCTCTAGAGAGGGATGTTATCAGGCTCTAGGGGGGGGAGTATCAGCCTCTAGAAAGGGAAGTATCAGCCTCTGGAGGGGGATGCTATCAGCTTCTAGAGAGGGAAGTATCGGTCTCTAGAGGGGGATGCTAGCCTCTAGATAGGGAAGTTTCAGCCTCTGGAGTAGGAAGTATCGGCCTCTGAAGGGGGATGCTATCAGCTTCTAGAGGGGGAAGTATCGGCCTCTAGAGCCTCTGGAGGGGATGCTATCAGCTATCAGACGTTGGCCTCCCCTGCTCCAGACTGGTTCCTCCTTGTCGAGCAATGGAACCAACAAACTGTCTCTAAACCAGAAACACTGCAGCTTTAAAATTCCCTCTGGATGTCTTTATTTGGGTCTCATTTAAGCCCTATTTGCACACCTGGACACACCACATGACCAAAATAGAAACGAGAATCATTCAGGTCCTAAAAGGAATTCAAAGACAAACCAGATGCCATGAAATATATGTATTTTTGCCTTTTCGGGAACCAATGACACTTGTTAGTTTGTAGATGTTGGTTTTGTTTTTATATATTTTATGTATTTAATCATTTGCCTTATGTTTGCTGGTTATAGATTATATATGTTTTTATGTCCTAAAATGTATTTTTCTTTAAACTTATTTGGATTTCTTGAGTCTGTATTAGCTTCCATTTGAATTATTTATGGTTTTATCTTTGTTTGGAGTTACTCACAGCTTTCATTTATCTGTTCTCAGGTTTGTTCTCGTTCCTCCTGGTTTTTCTTGGTCTTTGTCAGATTCTTGTCAATCCCTGACATCTTTTCATGTACTCTCAACCTTTTCTGTCTTTTATTTAATCTCAAACATTTTTATTTTGTTTTAAATAAATATATGACTGCTTTTCTGAGAGAATCAGCTTCTCTGGGGTGCTCTCTCTCTCTCTCTCTCTCTCTCTCTCTCTCTCTCTCTCTCTCAGTGATCATCAATGGCGAGTGGCGGATTTCTTCCCGACCAATCAGATGCCGGCATGTGCAGAAGCTCCAATTATCTCACTTTAAAAACCCCGAAAGAGTCGGACCGGAAATGCAGCTAAAGGCAGTTTCCAGAACCTGGTCGCCTGTTGACCACCTCTATAAATAGAGCTCGACCCAGGTGGGACTTGAACCCACAATCCCCAGCTCCGGAGGCTGATGCCTTATCCATTAGGCCACTGGGCCTGCCTAAATGTGGGGAAATCCTTCACCAGTGACGCCTCTCAACGAGAGACTGACATAAAAATCTGCAAAATGAAATAAAAATTTAAAAAGCTAAAAATGTACAATTTCAGCCAAATATCATCCTATACAAACAAATCACTTTATGCCACACAGAGAGAAGTCATAGATCAAATGAATATTTCATGTTAAAGAACAAGCCTTTCTGCATAAAATCTGAATCTTTTCTGGCATTTTGCAATCTAGAGGTGCAGCTGATCTCTTTCCAGTACATAAAAACTCTTTAATTAGTTGTTCTGAGTTAGTGCGAAAAGGATCTAAGTTTAGCTTCTGAGCCAACTTCTGCTGCTGGGGGTCACCTGGTTTCCCTGGTAACACCATCAAAGAGGCGCACCTTTCATCTGTGTTTGAGAGATAACTGAGTTGTGATGCGATCTCACAAACTGCAACTTTACTGTTTCCAGGTGGGGATTTTTGGATAAATCAGGGCTCTGGCTTTTAAACGGGTCAACAACAGAAGAATGGCTCATTTAAAACAAAACAAAACAAAACAAACATTTTGGTTTCCTCGTTTTCGCAGCGGGCTCTCACACTCCGGCCCAGTAGGGGGCGCTAACCCTCCTAAAGATGGCCAACTAACCACAGACCCCCATGATGTCTGATGCTAAGGGCACTCAGTCAGAGTTAGGACCTGGAGTTGGCATCAGCAACAGAACCGTCTTAGACCATTTGAATCCATCTAAATTTTTGGATTTGGGGGTGGAGTCTAAGGGCTGCAGTGGCCTCCTGATTGGTCCATTTTAGGCCCAGGAAGAGGGGCAGTTTCTTATTTAAAGAGACAAGAAAATAGCCTTAAGAAAGAAAGACAGACAGAAAAAAGATAGATAGGCCAGCACCTAGTTGGTTTTCCTTTTAAGGTAATCCCATCCCGACTGTCTGATGACATCATCAGACTATTGTGTCATCACATGGCGGCATGTGCAGAGGCTCCAATCATCTAAAGATGGCTTCTAGCTGGAGGGAAAAGGGGATGTTTCCAGAACCTGGAGGCCCATTTACCTCCTCTACACACAAAGCTCGACCCAGGTGGGACTTGAACCCACAATCCCCAGCTCCGGAGGCTGATGCCTTATCCATTAGGCCACTGGGCCTGCATAAATGTGGAAAATCCTTCACCAGTCAGTGCTCTACACAAGACTCTGACTGGACCTCTGTTTGTTCTGATGGCCGAGCTGAGTGTTTATGGCTCCAATACGATTGGATCTGATTCCATTTGTGGAAATGATTTCATGACCCCACGTGGGTCCCGATGGATGCCTGTTTGACTGGAGTCAGTCAGGTTTTTAATCACACATGCAATGAAACACACACACACAGACACACACAGAAACACACAGAGACACACAGACATACCCACACAGACACACAGAGAAACACACAGAAACTCACATCACACACAGACACACACAGATGCTCGTAAACCGCCTCCCTCATGAATGGACTTGGTCAGAGTAATGATTCAGGGCAGCTGGCAGCAGGAAATGGGATTAGACAGCTGAAGGGTCACTGGGGACCGGAGCCTGGGCCTGGCTCTGGGCTCTGGGGACCGGGGGGGGGGCTGACAGCCACTTATCATCGGCGGACTCACCCCCCCGTCACAGGGAGTGACGGAGCTCGTCTAAGTTAACGTCTCATCCAATAAGGCTGCTCCTTACTTCCGGCTGTTGCATGGCAACGGCGGCCAGCCTCCGACTCAGGAAAGGACCAAGACGGACCTTTTTCTGAAGGAAAAACTAAATAAAATCCACAAGATTTCGACTGCTTTGTTTGCTGAAATCGAAAGAAAATCTGCTTTTTCAATGTGTTGTATGATTGTTTCTAATAAATTACTTTTTCTTTATTTTATGTGTTCACTTCATGTGTTTTGTGGTCAAATAACGCCTAATTTGGTCATTCTATGACTCTTAATGGTTGCTTTGTGTGTCTTTGTAGCACCTTTTTAAAGGTTTTGTGTGTATTCTCTACATTTGATGTGGTTTTTTTTGGTTGTTGTGTTCCTAATAAACTTCTTTTTCAATATTTTGTGTTTTTTCTGGTCAAATCA